CCAAACACAACATAAATCTCATACTCCTCCGTTAATTTGATCTGATATTCCTTCATTAATCCAATTTAATTTAATTTTTTTACCCAGAGATCCACACTCTAAAATACATTATGCATAAGGACAAGTTCTTATAAAATGACCAAACTACCCATATATATAAGATATATTATTTCACAAATCAAACCCTAAGCAATTCTCTCTCTCTCTTTCTCTCTCTCTCTCTCTTTTCATCTTCGTGATCGAAGCCCAAGGAGGATAAGGAGATTTCGAAGTCGTCGTAATTGTTGAAGTCATCGTTTTCTTCGTCGAAGAGTAGATCTAAGTAGTGAAGTGGTGGTGAGAGGTGGAGGCAGAGAAGTCATCATCAAATGTAGAATTCGAGAAAGCTGAGGTCTTCGTTGAGGTCGTCGGTAGTGGTGGTGGTGGTCGTCATCGTGGAAGAGATAGTGGTGAAGAGAATGAGAGATGAAACAGATAAATTTTTATTTGTTTGAACAGATAGGGTCTGGTTGAAGATTGTTTGTTAGAAAAATCTAATTGAATTTTGAACAGAAGTAATAGCAGCCAAAGATGAAGATTGTTTCTTCTTCTTCTTCTTTTTTCTTAGCTCAAATCTGTTGTTTCTATTGTTGATGATGACGATGATAAAATAGATTGCAGCAAATTAAAAAAAAAATGAATAGATAATAGGATAAAATTGGTTAAAATTTGAACAGATAATAAAATAGGACAGATAATTGAAAAGATAAAGGAAAAAAATTGAACAGATAATTCTTTTGAATAGATAAAAATTTTAAACAGATAAAAAAAGTCCCACGGATAAAAAATTTAAACAGATTAAACAATTTGAACAGATAAGAATTTAACAGATAAAAATTAATTTCAACAGATAATCAACGAAAAGTCAAACAGATAAAAAAAAGCTAATGGTTAAAATTGAAAATAAAATATTTTCTAGGACTTATTACCAAACTACTTTATAAAGTATGGACTTCTCATCAACAAAAAATATCTAACCTCATGCCTTATACCTTTCTTATACTGGGTTTATTACCAATTAATCCTTAATATATATGTATGTATTTTTTTTTTTTCATTTTTTACCCTTAATATTTTTCTATTTATACTTTCTCCCACACTATTATCAATTGCTACCCATTGTCGCCTCTGACTAGTCGGAAAGTCATTGAAAAAATTGTCAGCGATCTGTTGCGGCAAACAAGTAGGCACAGAGATAGATAGATAGGATATGTGAACAAATAAGTAGACTGATAAGTAAAACATGTGAATAGATAGGAATATTACGATATTTCAAATTGCTTTTGGCATAAGGATCCTGTAGAGTAATCCTCTAGAGTGATCTCCTAAAGTGGATAATCGGACGGCTGATATTAATACTCACCAAAACAACGTCGTTTTGGTGAGTATTTTGAAAAAAAAAAAAAAAAAACAGAATCAGGGGTTTCAAAAGGGATTTTAAAATTCCCCTCATATGTATACAGACAGCGAGAGGGCGAGAGTGCGAAAGAGTTCAAAGGAGTGTTTGGGGTTCAAAGGACGAACGGCGGCGGAGGCAGATGAACCACGACAGAGGACGAAGGACGACGAACCACGACGGAGGACGAACGGGGAGCCTGTGACAGCGAATCGAGGTAAACCTGAATCATAGTGAAGTTAGGGTTTACATTTGGCTTCAATTTTTGTAGAAATTAGTCGATTGGGAGTGTTTCGGGTTGGATTTTGTTTGCTATTTGTGTTAGGGTTCCAGATTTGGCTTTAATTTGTGATACCTGTTAGGCTTTGGGATTTGCCTTCATACCTGTTAGGCTTTGGGATTTTCCTTCATACCTATATATGCATTTATTTTGGGACATTACTAGGATTTGCCTATATTCGACGCTCAAAGTCATCAGAAGACTCAAATGAGTTCATACTTTGCCTGTCATTTTGCCCCTCATCATCAACTGTTTAGAAACAGGAATCAGATATAGAATATAGAATTGCCTTTAAAGCTTGTAAAAAGTGCATTCCTATAGGCGCATAACCAAATATGACTAGAGGTTACAGGGTACCATCTCTGTAATAGAAATCTAAAAATTAAAACATGAACTGATGGGCCTACAGGTAACATGTAAATGTGATATTATGGCGTAATTAGGGCAAATGCATCTGTACAATCATCAATTTCTGAACCTTGTTAGCTGGGGTTGATTACTAACATAGTTTGAGCTAGATGTTTAGAGGCTCAGATAAACATGTATCAAATTTGAACTAATTGGACAGACCTATAAAGTAGTAGGAGTATTCTGCTCCCATCCCATGTGTTTAGGAAGGATAGGATGAATGGCTTTTGTTGCCTAGATGCTACTTTGATGAATAATTATTATACTTTTTTTTTTATTTAGTTAGTTCATTGAGTTCTATAATTAGTTAATTGAAGTTGTATTTTGAAAGCTCATATTTTGAAAAAAAACCAAAACACCCCCTTAGATTTGAGAAAATAAGTTATTAAAGTAAGATGCCAAACAACTCAAGTTTGTTAAAAAAGGACATATATTTTGATGACAAGATGATGAATTTTATAGAGATGATTGGCATTTTCATTGGAAAAGCAGTGTTCAACTGGTATTACCAAAACCAAACTAATACCAGCAAAGTTTAGAGCCTTCATGAAAACAACAGTTTCATATAGAAGCATATGAGAGAGTAAAGAGAGGTATACTTTAATGTGAGTGATATTGTCACCATGAAAAAGAGATGACAACAAAATAGGGTAACACAGGCCATCTTATTATAAAGCTTTGCGTTCACATGAAGAAGCTTTATAAAGAGATGACAAGAAAATATATATAAATAATTGAAGAAGCTTTTTATTCTTTTTTCTTTTTTCAATTTTCTTTTCCTTTTTCCCCCCTCTACAAACCCAATATCCATGTATGTGGTATTTTTTTATGCAGATAAACAAATGGCTTCATCTTCTACTAATAATACAAACTTAAGATTAAAGCCAAGGTTTTGTAATTGTGGAAGAACAACTTCCGTGCGTATTGTACGAACCAATGCAAATGGAAATGAAGGACGTGTCTATTTTGTTTGCCCAAGAAAAATATGTAAGTACCTGTTATATAAATGAATCTGTTACTTTTTACAAATTTCATTTGTCCTTTATTGATTAACTGATTCTTGTCCATTGTAGTCTACGAACGACCACTGCAATTACTTCAGGTGGTTCGCAGATGATGATGACGACGACGACATTACCTCATCAACTTCAACCAATGCTGGACCTCGAACAGATTCAAGAACAGAAGAAATGAATGATCTAAGGACAAGGCTTGGTGAGAATGATAGAAGGCTTCAAAGGATGGAGAAGATGTTCAAGGCAATGACTTATGTCATTGTATTTTGTGTATTTTTGTACTTTATCATGTAAATGACTCGGTTGTTAGGTTTTCGAACATGCTATGAATGTAATCTACTTTTCTACTTGTTTTGTATTTTTTTTTTTTGGTGCTTCAAAATCTGATGGCTTGCAAAAACAAGTGTATAACAAGTTTGTTCGAGATGAAATGTGTTGAATGAACAGTTTGTGAAATCTATTGAGTTATGTTGGTTGCTTAACAGTGTGTATTATATGTGATGGTTTGAACAAAACAGGTATATTAATTAACAGGTTGAACAAGTTGAATAACGAGGTGTTCAATGAACAGGTTGAACAGGTTGAAGGTGTATAACAGGTTTCTTTGAGATGAAATGCGTTGAATTTTTAAAGTGGGTATTGATTATGAACAGTGTGTGAAATCTTTTGAATTATATTGGTTGCTTAACAGTGTGTATTATATGTGATGCTTTGAAAATGTTGTATGAAATGTTCAATGCTGTATAACAGGTTTCTGAAATTCAGGTTGTTCATGACCAACATTTTAACAAAAAAATTTATTTCAAATATTTATTTCAGAAAAAACTAGGAACTCATTTACTAATATAACATATTTATATTGACAAAAAGATGTAAGATGCATTTAGCACTCTGGGAAAACATAATAAATAAAATTAGAGAATAAGTACGGGACCTTGCAGCTTCAAAGATCACACAGATTGCACTTAAACTTTGACATATAACATATTGCACATGATATCCTACAAGCTAAACAAAAATGAAAGCAGACTCTTTTTGCTTGTTTTTGACCATGCACAATGACAACAAAGAGAACGAATACCTACACAGAGAGAGAGAGAGAGAGAGAGTAAATTGAAAACCTAGATTTCCTAAGTCAGATAGAGAGAGAAGCAGGGGTGATAGATTAAATTAACTGATTTGATTCAATTCATTTAGTGATATCATTAAACAGAACATAGAGTGATGATTACCAGACGAAGCAAAGGAGCTTCGGGATCCGCAATGCGAGTTAAGGCTATGTCAGAGCTAAATAGATCCGACTCGGCTTGAAATCGGAGAGCAATGTCGGAAATTAGAGAGTTTCAAATTGCTAGAATGAGCAGAAATTTCGACGGATTTGAAGGCGACGAAGATTGATCCGACAGCGGAATAAGCAGCCGTGGAAGCTCCGGCGATTGAAGAAAGAGAGAGAGATGAAGAAGAAGAAGATCGCTACAATGTGTTGTGGTTGATTAATTTGCTTTGGAAGCTCCGAAGAGTGTGAGAATGGCGATGCATTTGAAGAGCTTTGACTGTGGCCAGTCAGATTCGAGCGAGAGAGGGTGGAGAGTCAAAAGAGAGTCGAGCGAGAGAGATTTTGAGAGAGAGAGAGTTCATACAGAGAGATTTGGGAAATAAGTGAAAAAGGGGAGATAGTTTTTTAACAACGCGGGTCTTCTTTTTTTAATGTAAAAGTGATTTTTTGCAACCACTAAATCATCCGTCGCAAAAAAATAAACGCAAAAAATCATATTTCTAGTAGTGGCAACAGTTTAATGAAAGGTTTTGAATATTACATATCCAACAAAAAATTCACAAAAATTCCCAAAACAAAATAACGCTAAGATGTTGGCGTGTGATCCACATCCCCATGCCCACGGCCACACCCACAACCACGACCATATAGTACCTACAAAAAAATAAAATAATATTACATCAAAGGAACCATAAAATAAAATGGAACTTTAAATGAATGAATGACAAAATAAAAGAGGAAATGTGAAAAATAAATTACTTGACTACATGCGGGACTATTTGAAGCTTGCGAGTGATAACTACTTGCATTGTTAAGCAATGCTTGATAGGTTCCATGGACGGAATACATTGATGGCATTGAAAAATGCATATTGTGATGAAGAAAACTTGGCTGCAACAATAACAAACACATATCAATTTAAAATGATAATAGTCACCCACAAATCCTTACTAAAACTTTTTATTAACCAACTTACATCATAGGCGGGATACATAAATTGAGACGAAGAAGCTCTAACTTGAGGAACACTCGGCGAGAATGGACGAAGTTGAGGAGCACTTGAAAATAAAGGAGCCGACTGAGGAAATAAGGAAGGTGCTTCAGGAGCACTTGCCGAAATATGGGAGGAGTTTGAGGAGTAACAGACATGGAAGTTTGAGAAGCATTATGTGAACTTGTTTTATTTTTCTTTGCCAACGCAAGCTCCAAACCACCTTTTGTCCGCCTTTGTCCCTTGCTAGTGCACTCTCTTCTCTTGAGTCCTTTTGCTTGAACTACATTTTTATCCACTACACCATCCACTTCAAAGCTTTCAGGGCATGTGTTGGGGGGGCTTTCTTGTTGAACAGTATCTAAACAAGGCATATCGAATTTTGCGCTTAACATGGTTTCAATGTCTGCAATTAATTCATCCGCTTTCTCGACCGTCAAATTATATGTTTCCTCACTTTCAGAAGCTCTACATGCTACGGATCTGAATATTGCCATCAATGACCTATAACGTGAAGTTTGATGCAATCTTACATTAACCTGAATATCATACCCACACCTATCTTTCACATTTTCAGATCTTGCTTTTTTAGTCCATCTCTTCAGAATATATTGTGAAGGAATCTCTTTGAATTTGAGTCTTTCTCTAAGGATCTTCAAACAATGACTACACAAAATGCCCTTCATTTCAAACTTCCTATAATTGCAAGTGACCGAATCATCACACTCCTGCCTCACTTTCCTCACCTTTATACCATCACTATCAAGAACCGTATAAACGGTACTCTTACCATCATTTTCAATTTCTTCAATGTTGACTTCAAGGGACTTGACATACTCATCCTGAAATTCTTCAAAAATTTTATTTGTGTAAACATCTGCAGCTTGCTCCATAATCTTCACTTTAATATTCACCCTTGGTAACTTTTAGCATAGAGCATATTCGGCTTGTAACTCTTTGTACCTCTTCTCAAAAAGAACTCGAACAAAATGCATGAAAATTTGCATTAAGTTATGATCAGACTGAATGAAATTCTTCAAGAAAGCATTAAAGGATTCACTAAGTTGGGTGCTACTCATGCCCGCACCCCATGCATTTTTAACATATGGCCAACCCAATTTTTCCTTGACCCCAAATGTTAACTTCAACCAATGATTATCTCTTACTTTATACTTGTCAAGCATTTCCTCCGATTTTAACGTAAACTCTTCCTCATCCTCAATGTCGTACATAAACGTGGATAAAACACTCTTCATCCCCTTATCCTTCACCGCCTTATCCTTGAAGATAGAATTTGCATGCCTTAATGCATTTTGCATCAAATGCCAAGTGCAAAGGCGGTGGGTTGTGTTAGGCATGACAATAGGTATGGCCTTAGCCATTGCAACATCCTGATCCGTATAAATTGTTTTTGGAGCCTTACTTGACATTGCCTCCAAGAATCTTCTAACAAGCCATACAAAAGAATCAGCGGTCTCATCATATATCTAAGCTGCACCAAATATCACAGTTTTCCTATGATGGTTAAATCCAACAAAAGACGCAAATGGACTATGTGCACTATTTAACTTGTAAGTAGTGTCGAAAGTCACAACTTCACCAAATTGCCCATAATCCATGATCATCTGAGCATCGGCCCAAAATATGTTTGTAATCTGCTCCTCGTTATCTAATTGGACCGAGTAAAAAAAAGATGGATTCTCCAATGATTTGTCACGAAAATATTACAAAATGCTACATGCCTCCCCATATGCTAAACTGTTTTGCCTCTTCGTTCTCAAATAATTTTTTTGGTCCAGTTTTGTGAACCCAAGTGACTCCCTTCCACCAACTTCATTAACCATGAGCTCAAATGCAGCATTAAAACGGATTCCAGATTTTTCGACTAAATCTATTTCAGTTGCCTGTGATGCAGATATCTTCCTTTGGGATGGTAACATATGCGTACATTCTGTTGGTACAAAGATATGATTATGTTGTTCAACAAAATCACTAACAAAAAATTTCTGCATATTCCTATCCCACTTAATGACAAGTCGAGCTTGACAACCAGTCTTCACTTCTTGCCTAGGATTTTTTGTTAATAGATCTCGCTTGTCGACAACCCAAAATCCCTCCTTATTACAAACAAATTGTCTTGAAGTGATTTGCCCCTCTTTGCTCTTGTTTACATAGCCCCTTCTAATACTAAAGTCCAACCTTCCTCCATAAGTATTATAGAAATCATATGCTTCTTGTTCTGTATCAAACGTCATGCAAACTCTAGGCTTCCAATCACACTCACCCCCGTCATTCTCATGATTGTTAGGTTCCATATCAATGTGCCAAGTCACTTAAAAAATAAAGAAGTGCTCAATATTAGCATAAAAACTGTAAATTATGTTTGCAAAATAATACAAACTGAATAAGATAATCAACAAATAAAAGAAATTAGATAATCAAGGCAAACAAAAAGAAATAGAAATTAACAAAAACCAAATGCAAAGTGCAATATGCTATCTTTGTGGTTAGAGTTCCAGTAATAAACTTCATTTCAGGAGGGTCAAACTTTATCAATAAAGTAGGATAGAACATAAATAAAAAGAGTGGATGCCATTTATATATGAATGGAATTTGGGCTATGATTAATGTCAAATAATTTCTTTTGCTACTATTGCTTGGTGGAGAAGGGCACAAATGATACATTTTGCATTAGCTGTAAAACTTGAAGAATGAGCCTTAACTCTTATGAGCCTATAACAAAAACTACAGAACGTCATAACAAGTTTCTAGCTTGTATGTTTGTTATAGAGATTTATCTACACAATATGTTTGTCAAGTTTCATTTTATTTGAAATTCTATCAGAAGAAGAAAGAAGCACCTATAAAACACATTGAGGAGCAATCCCGTTGAAAAAAAAAATTGCTGCTTGCCCTCACAAATTGTTGAACCTTCTCAGATGTTGCCAGTGGTGGACGTTTCTTTATATGTTCCTTTAACCCAATTAATGAATATCTGATAAAAAAATACATGTAATGACTACAAAGAAAAACAATGACTACAAGGAAACTTCAGGATGTAAATTGCCTATGTCCACTTAAGAAACAGGAAAAAAAAAAAAAAAAAGTTTGACAGAGAAATAATCTGGTTAGATTTGCATACAGAGATGGGAGAGCTTTACGTTGACTTACATAAGCATACAGAGCTGAACCCATTTTTTTCCTAAGGTTGCATATACTGTGTGTGTGTATATATATATATATATATCTATTATCACAGGGATTGAGCAATATATATCAACAAGATTGAAGCAAGATTTGTGTGGAGCAATATATATCAGCAAGATTTCAGCAAAAAAGGCAAACATAATATAATCACCTATATTTTCTTCAAACGGTTGAAGCAAGGGCAACGGCCACGGCGGCGGCAGGACAGTGGCGACAGCAGGACGGCAGCAACGGTGGGGCGACAGGAGGCCAACTCTTCTTCGCTCTCTCGTTCTTTCTTTGATTCTTCTCGCCGTCTGTATAGCCGTCTTTATACATATGGAAGGAATTTTGAAATCCCTTTTGAAACCCCTAATTCTGTTTTTTTTTTTTCAAAATACTCACCAAAACGACGTCGTTTTGGTGAGTATTAATATCAGCCGTCCGATTATCCACTTTAAGAGATCACTCTAAAGGATTACTCTAGCGGATCCTTACGCTTGTTTTTGTCCTTCTGGACCAAAAAGAACAGAACTTGAAACAATTGGTCCAAAAGTTGGAAAATTTAACTTTCAGCCCAAAAGCCTAAAATTAAAAATATATTTTGTTTAGTTTGATTTTTTAAAAATTATTTTTAGACAAATTTTCATTTATCTTTAATGATTTTATATTTTATATTTTATTTTATATTTATTTTTTACTTCATAGATTCATCATAATTTTTGTTATTTTTTTGTAAATATTTTAAAGTATAAAAAAAATTTAAAAACAATTATCTAAAACAAATAAAAACCATCGGAAAAACAAATTGTGAAAAATCCCACAAAACAAATAAAATATGTAAAAATAATTATGAGCAACTAATTTGGTGGTCTAATAAAGTAACCGCTTTTGGAAGGCAAATACAGAGACAAAAGAAGGCACTTGTAGCAGCATCGTTTTCTTTCACCATACAACTTTAGAGCATCACATATCTTTTTTTTTCATTATCGAGTGAAAATTTTCATTTGATATTCGAATAGAAGATTTTGAGATTGTATCAAAATGACAGTCGACCAGGTAGATGTCCTGTCAATTGATCGATCAGTGTATTTGTTTTATATATTTTTTACAAAAAGGTGATTATTATGGAAAATAGTGAAAATTTAGGTCGTGTTTAATATAGTTCTAGAATTAACGTTTCAAAGCTTAATTTGAACACGACATTTGTTTACGTATTTCAAAACTTAATTTCACGTTCACTTTTGAAAACGCAGTCGAAAGCAGGAAATTTGGACTAATCGATAGTCCAGCCGGTTGACCGGAATACTGCAATTTTTTTTTTTTTTGCAATTGACATATATTAATTTTTATATATTCGAAAAAAATATTTTCCGAATTTTAAATTTTTTTTATGTGTTTTAATAGAATTTTGAATTGTATGTTTAGTTATGAATTGTAAGTTTTTATATCAAATATCATATGTCACATCAAAAATTTTCCACTTAATTTATAAAAAATTTCAAAACTTTTTCACCAAACAAATTGTCCACATTCAAATCATAATTTCAAAACTCACAAACTCAAAATATAACTCATACTCTCAAATCACAGTTAGAAAGTTCTACCAAACGCAACCTTAATGCCTATGAATAGTGATTTGATGAAAAATTTCAAGGGTCCTCAATTTGGTAAAAAAAATTTGAAAAAATAATTAATCAGCTTGTTTGTTTTCATTTTTCAAAAAGTACTTTTCAAAAAATTCTACTTTCTTATTTTCCGTACTTTTTTGTTTTTACTAAATTTTTTTAATATTTTAAGTAATTTTTTTACTTTTTAGACACACCTAACATAAATATACCTAAAAAGTAAAAAAAATATTAAAAAAATCTTATAAAAATTCACTAAATATCAAAAATACAAAAAAATGCAAGAATTCAGTACATTTTTTTTTTATATTTTTATGTATTTATTCCAAACCAAGCCTCAAGTCCCATCAAATAGGGTCGGCTACATGAATCCTTCTTCTTCACGCGGCCCTATCAAAGGCCATTTCATTAGTCAAATTAAGTAGATTCATATCTCTATTTAAAACGCTAGTCAACGTTCATCTAGGCCTACCCCGTCCCCTAACACTTCCATCTACCGTTACAGTATCGCATCTCTTCACTACTGCCTCTGTTGGTTTCCGTTGAATATGACCAAACAATCTCAAACGATTGTCTTTCAACTTATCTTCTATCGGTGCTACTCCTACCCATTCCCGAATACACTCATTCGTAATCATGTCTTATCTAGTCTTACTACACATCTACCTTAGCATCCTCATTTCAGCCACACTCATCTTATCTACATGTTGTTTCTTGGTTGCCCAACACTCCGTCCCATACAACATAGCTGGTCTAATAGCCATTCTATAAAACTTACCTTTTAGTCTAGTGGGTATCGTTTATCATACCCCAGACGCACTTCTCCACTTACACCATCCCGCCTTAATTCTATGGGTCACATCTGCATTATCTCTCCCGCTGTTGTGACAATCGACCCTAGATAACGAAAATGTTCACTCTTAGGCAATTCTTGGTTCTCAATCTTCACTTCTTCTCTACTTTCATTGTTACTGTTACTAAATTTACACTCCATGTATTCTGTCTTAGTTCTGCTTATCCGAAATCCTTTAGATTCAAGAGCTTTTCTCAAAATCTCTAACTTGTGTTAACTCCTTCTCTAGTCTCATCCACTAGCACAATATCGTCTGCAAAAAGCATGCACCATGGCACGTCATCCTGAATATTTATCGTCAACTCGTCAATAACTAAAACAAAAAGATAAGGACTTAAGGTAGATCCTTGGTGTAACCCTACAGTGATAGAAAATTCATTTGTCTCTCCAGCTGGCGATCTAATGGTGGTCACTACCCCTTCATACATGTCCCTAATCACGTCAATGTAATCTTTTGTCACTCATTTCTTCTCTAACACCCACCATATTATATCTCGGGGCACTCTGTCATATGCTTTCTCAAGGTCGATAAACACCATATGAATGTCTCTTTTCTTTTCTTTATACTTTTCTATTTCTGCAAAAAGCATGCACCATGGCACGTCATCCTGAATATTTATCGTCAACTCGTCAATAACTAAAATAAAAAGATAAGGACTTAAGGTAGATCCTTGGTATAACCCTACAGTGATAGAAAATTCATTTGTCTCTCCAGCTGGCGATCTAATGGTGGTCACTACCCATTCATACATGTCCCTAATCACGTCAATGTAATCTTTTGTCACCCATTTCTTCTCTAACACCCACCATATTATATCTCGGGGCACTCTGTCATATGCTTTCTTAAGGTTGATAAACACCATATGAATGTCTCTTTTCTTTTCTTTATACTTTTCTATTACTCTCCTCAAAAGATAGATCGCTTCCATTGTTGACCTACCAGGCATAAACCCAAATTGATTCTCTGACACCTCTGTTATATCTCGCAATCGGCGATCCATCACCCTCTCCTACACTTTCATTATATGATACATTAGCTTGATTCTTCTATAGTTGTTACAATTCTGGACATCACCTTTATTCTTATAGATTGGCACTAAAATACTCTTTCTCTACTCATCTGGCATGTTCCTAGTCAACAAAATTTTGCTAAACAACCTAGTTAACCAACTAACTCCCTTTTTACCCAAACACTTCCAAGTTTCAATAGGGATATCATCGGGTTCTAAAGCCTTATTTGATTTCATCTTCTTAAGTGCAATTTCCACTTCAAAGTTCCTGATCCTGCAATAGAACCTATAGTCTTGGTTTATCGTATTACTGGCTATTTCTTCCCTTATTGTCGTACCTCCATGTTCCTCATTTAATAGTTTCTCAAAATAATTCTTCCATCTTTCCTTAATCTCATCATCCTTCACCAATACCTTAGAATTCTCACTCTTGATGCACTTTACTTTATTAAAATCTCTTATTTTCCTCTCTCGTATCTTAACAAGTTTGTATACCCTCTTCTTTCCCTCCTTACTATCTAGTCTAGTGTATAGGTCATCATATACTTTCAACTTGGTCTCTCTCACTACTTTCTTGACCTCCTTATTAGCTAATCTATAACTCTTAAGGTTTTCCTCAGTTCTATTATTCTGTCACTTTTTAAAACACTCTTTTTTTGCCTTAACTACCGCTTGCACCTCTTCCCTCCACCACCAAGTTTCCTTAGAACTGGGTCCCGTTCCTTTCGACTCTCCAAGCACTTCCCTTGAGATTCTCCTCATACAATTGGCCATCGAGTTCCATTTTTATGTATTTATTAATTTTTTAAAATATTTTTTTATAAATTTTTTACTTTTTAGATACATCTAAATAAGGTGTATTTAAAAAAGTAAAAAAAAATGTTTAAAATTTTAAAAATATTCACTAAAAACAAAAAAATACAAAAATAAAAAAATTCAATTTTTAAAAAATTTAATTCAAAAAACTCCAACCAAACACAGTGATAGTTGTTTTTTTTGTCAAATTTAAATTTGACAAAGAATTGATGAACGATGTATATATATATCGACAATGCTACGTAACTCAAATTTTGTGGTTCAAAAGTGGCTCAAATGGTCAAAACGACGTCGTTTTGAGTACAGAACAACATAAAAATGGCCAAAACGACGTCGTTTTGACCATTTGAGTCACTTTTGAGCCACAAAATTTGAGCTACGAGACATTTTCCTATATATATATATCCATCTATACATTGGTCTTTGCGTTCATAATTATGGGTAACCCTACAGATCAGTATCATTTCCTTTTCAGATCCTTCTATTATTGAAGCCCTTCGATTTGATTCGATGAGTCCGCCTTACCATCTTCGTTTCCTCATCTATATTTAGCCCTGAAAAAAAAAAAGGAAGAGAGAGAGAGAGTGAGAGAGATGATTTTGTACACTTCATTCGCCGCTTGGACCAATCACTTTTTCGCTTGTATGGGGTAAGTGCTTGCTTAGTCCTTTTTTGTTTTTTTTTTGAACGGCTTGCTTAGTACTTGATTTCACCTCCTCAAGCTGGTATTTTACTAGGTATTTCTATGTTTGGATTCTGTTTGGATGCTGAGAAAATAGGGGAAGTAGACTCCTAATTATTTTTTTTCACTAATTTGGGGATGTGGGAACTGTTGGCAGCTGTTGAGTTGTTTAGAAATTTAAACAGCATTAATATTTTTTTGATAAATTATATGATTCAAAATAGTCAATATAGATTTTGAATTTAAGTCTGATGGAATGACCTGTTTTGTTGAAGACATATTTCCTTGGAGGTTAAATGTTGGTTTCAGAAGCAATTTTTGGGGGCCTTTTAGAGCAAAAAATTACATTTTTTTCCCCTTTCTTTTGGTCTTGATTTCCTCCAAGATCATGGATGGTGGTTATTAAATGCTGACCAAGAACTTGCTTCGTTTTTGATGTGATATACATGATAGAACACATTTATGCTTCACATCAAATTGGGAAGGAAAAAGATAAAATAAAAAATACACCACTTATGTTTTACCTTACAGGGAGAAACATAGATGTGGAGAAAAGTAGTATCTTGATTAAAAATTATGTCCTAATTTTCTTGCATCATATGATACTGACTGCTGTTTTAAAAGGAACAGAACCACCAACAATTAGGCCTCATAAAAATTACCCACTATAAGAATTCTGAAGAAACCACCTTCCTTCCCATATCTAACTTGTAAACTGTTTTTTCGTTGATCGAACATTCCAACATAAGTTAAATAACTTTAGGAATTCAAACCGAGCTTCAGCACATAAGTTGAGTGGTAACAGAAAAATAATTGCAAATCAGGGTTTTTCTTGGTGCTTTACTGGTTTAGACCTTTGCCGTGCCATAGCAGAGAGCTTCTGCTGAAGGTAGTTGCGCTCTGCAAACCTTAGCATTAGTCTGTTATAGTTTGAGCCAATGATGGATGAATCTATCTTAAAGATGCAAGCTGTAGGAAAGAAGAAAAGACCTGAACGCCATTAATGGTGTTGACATTAACTGAAAAAGTTTGGAGAAACTTGAGGTTAAAGGCTTATTAGGGTTTGAAGTATTGGACTGTGCTGTTGATTGGTATGCTTAAATTCTAATACTGTACATGACAAAAAGTTTTCCTTCGGTAGGAAGTACGTGATGAGATATAGGGGCAATTATGGGAAGAGCACATCTATTGTTGTGAAAATATGAGAGTGGTTTAGATTTTTTTTTCTGGGGTAATATGAAAGAGTTAAGCCTAATTGCTTCTTCATAATGGTGCCTCAACATTCTTCTAATTACTAAATTTATGTGTGATTGAGATGACCATGGTCTGGTTTGGTCATTATCTTTTATTTGAAACTTTATTACATGGTCTATCTTTTCTATTGAGGCTTGTATATGTAATTAATTACATGAGTTTATGGTCAGTGGTAATGCATGAGTGGCTATAATGGCATTGATGTTTAATAGGTTTTCTTTTTTTTCTTTTCTGTTTTTTTAATAAATAAAATTGCTTAAAGAGTGGATAAAAAACCATTGAAAAACTTCATTATGGACCTGTTGAACTTGTTGATGGACTGCAAACCTGACTTGAGTAAGACTATATAATGGAATGGAAAATTTTGATTCACCTGACTTTTCACAATTGCTGGACAAAGGGTTCAAAAAAGTAAGAAAAATAGTACTTTTTTCTGGGTTTCCATGTCTACGGCTGTTTTGAGCCTTCTTTTGATTGCATCTTCTAGTTGCCATATTCGCTTCAATGAATCACGTCGTGCTTTATTTTCCACAGCTGGTAATAATTAAATTGATAACAGTGATTATTGATGTTTTACCACAATATATCCAATGACAACTACTTGCTGTCATTTATTCATCTACTTTTCTTTATTTTTATTCACCTAGAATTACAGGTTCCTTTGTGGAATACAGTTCAAAGCATTTTGAGATTTGCTTTGAAGAAACCTTATTAGGATGCCTAAATAAGTTTTCCGTACATTGAGGTTGCATTTACCTTTACAGATATTTTAGAGAGATTTTCCTTTAATCATCTATGAGTAGCATTTTCTTGGGTAGAAAAAAAAAAAATTCTCTTGCAAAATAAGGGATCATTATGAAATTGAATGGTTCATAAACATGCTTTCAAATATTCATGAACACTTTAATGACTAGACTGCAGATGTTGTGTTTGGTTGATATGAAAACATTGTTAGTTCTGGCCACAAACTTGGTTTGCCTTGCTGCTGGAATTTCTTGTATATGTGGATAAAACTGAATTGTAACAGAGCAGAGGTTGTTTTGGATGCTATACCAAACCCACACCGATTATTGCTGTGGATGAGCCATCAAAGGGACTCAGAATTCAAGGGCAAACGGTGAAGAAACCCAGTGCATCGGAAGATTTTTGGAGCACCAGCACATATGAGATAGAGAATAGTGCAGTTCAATCTCAGAGAAGCCTTTCATCTATCAGCATATCAAACCAGAGCCTGATGCACAATGGTGGCACTGGCAGCACTAGCAACCATTCAGAATTTGTAAACCATGGTAAGTTTTATGTATTTGATATCCTTTCTTCTATTAAATCACGCCCAGCCATTGATCTATAATCTACCTTTTGTGTATGGTGTCCATGTAATTGTGGGCTTAATTCTGCTACTCGTGTGACATCATGGCTTGTCCTGCTACCTACGTTACATGGACTTAGGTGTGGGTATCGGGTGCGGGTGTGGGTTCGGGTATCGGGTACGGGTGCGTATCTAGGGGTCGAACACTTCAAAACTAAAAATTGAGGTGGATATGGGTATGGGGATACGTTAAATAGTTATTTTTAAAATATATTTATTATATAAAGATAAGTTAAATAGTTATTTTTTAAAATATATTTATGATATTTTATTTTGTATATTTTTTTTATTGATAGTATTTTTATTTTAGCTATATAATTTGATCTTTTATTTTTGATTGACATATATATATATATAATATTATAAATAAAAAATTATAATAAATAAGGAATAATAAATTATGTTAAAATAAATAAAAAATACAAATTACATATTTTATTTTATAGATTTTTTTAGATATTTTTATTATATATGATTTAATTAGATTTCTTTTAAACAATTAGATGATTTATTTTATTTATTATATGTTAAAAAGTTAAGAAATAATAAATTTTGTTAAATTATATTATATATATAAAAATTTTAATTTATAAATTATATTATATATATTATATATGATAAATTCTATTATATAAAACAAATTCTATTAAGAGAGAGAGAGAGAGAGAGACCATCGAGATCGACAGTGAGAGAAGAGAGTGACGAAGACGATTGAAGCCCTAGTCTCCCCCCTAATCGCAAGTATGCCACCGTATCCACTTTCTCCATGCCGTATCCCGGCCAGATTCTATACCCGTACCCGTGTCGTGTCATGTCGATACGGGTACTTCGCCAAAACTGGCGAGTCGGTGTAACGTGGCCTGCTGCTATTCATTATATTGCTCCTGTTGTTAATTTTTATTTTTCTATTATTATTATTTTATCTTTTTGGGAATTTCGTTATCTTATTCTCTAGAAGTATGTAGTGTAAATCTTGCTAGTTTCTTTGATTGCAGGCCTTCTTCACTGGAATCAGACCAGACTTCAGTGGATGGAAAATAAAAGGTGTGAGAGCCATAGAGAAGTTCGCAAGCCCACTTTAAGGTATCTGCTTTGTTTCTTATGTTTCCTTCTAACTGTGGTTGGATATGAGTGATGGGTGTAGATATCATGTGAACAAAATTCTATAATACACAATTTGGAAGGGTGATCTTGTGTGGGGCCAGTTGATAGAGGAAACATTATACCTTTATTGTTCAATCGTTTATCAAGCCTCTATCGCTCATGATCCCTATCCTGCCTTTTATATATATATATATTGATGTAAACTTTTCCCTCCCAGCCTGTGTTTCTTATCCTATTGCCAACTGATTGTGTTTTTGCAGTTGGAATGCGACTTATGAGAGCGTGCTTGGAAATAATAAACGTTTCTCCCAACCAATCCCTCTCCCCGTAAGTCAGCACTGCAATTTGGTGATTTGATCAGTTCTGTTAATGTTATACCTGGTAACTTCGGACTTTTGCTAACAGTTGTTGGGCTCCTTCTGGCAGGAAATGGTAGAATTTCTATCGGACATATGGGAGCAGGAGGGCTTGTATGATTGAGGAACTCCTGGATATTGTATTAACTGTTTTGTATATGGTAAGTGTCGGTACTTATCTGCATACAAGAAAAAAGAGCAAAAGATCAAAGGGTTTTACTGATATGTTGTATGCCAGTTGCAATGTCACAGACCAATGTTCAATTTAACCCTTTTTCTTTCTTTTTTCTCCTTTTTTTCCTGACAATCCTTGTACATGCCTATTTCAATATGTATATGCCCCACAAGTGTATCTCATATATGGAAGCATTCTCCCTTTGATGAATTATTTTATAAATATAATGAGATGCAAGTGACCTGTCTTTGGGTTTCCTTCACTTGTGGTTGATCGTGTCCATGAGTTCGAAAGAGAAATGTGGAAAAGAAGAGAGTGTGCTGCCAAACAAATTGGCTGCCTTTGGGTAGGTTGGTTGTTTGATGCCTTTGTTGTTGAAAGAAATGCTTATATGTGACCTTTATTTATTTATATAGTTTCATAACCAGCCCTAAAATGTTTTAGTATTAAAATTTTGGCACGGTTTTATTAGCATTTCGGAAGGATTGCATTAAGTTTTGCTCTTGAAAGCGAGTACTCCTATATTGTTGATTAATATATGTTATGCAGACACATTGTAGATGTTTCATGTATATTTCTTTTACTAAATGAAAAAAATTAAACATTTGTCTCACCAATTTGTCCGAAGCCACCTATTTTTGTTCAAGCAGAGAACATAGTCTTAAAATTTTGTTCTCAGGTTCAGGTATTTTGGTTAGGCAGTGCTAAATGCAGTAATTTCTTTAGACTCGTGATTGTGCTCAGGTTCAGATGTTTCACTTTTAACCTAATGATTTTATAATCATTGTTGCTTTTAGGTTCGTGATTCGTGATTATGTCAAAGTTTCCTTTTGGCTCTTGTTTGCTGGGCATTCGTTTCCTGGATCTTTCAAGATTAATGTTTTAGTGCATGAAATTTCTTTATGCTTATCCCAAAAAGAGAGTTGTTCTGGTTATTGAGAGTTTTTGAAAAGTCTCTTAATCATGTATTAGGGCTTTGTCCTAGATTTTCTTGATTATGTCCTAAGATTTGAAGGGAAGATTATATGAGCATTTTCTTGTATTTACTATTGCAAGGGTCCTTTCTAGGTTTCCTTGTAGAGTCCTGGTCACTTGAATAAGATTGGGAAGCTTTCTGTCCACATGTAGGCTTCAAGAAACAGTTGCCCAGAAAGCAGTGCAGAAGGATGCCCATAGTATAGAGATCTTGTTTAAAAGTTTGATAAAATAGTTGCAAACAATTTTTATTTTATTATTTATTTATTTTTGAGGGGCACATTAGAGCTGTGGCCTTGGGGATGAGAGTTTTACCTGTGACAAATTTGAACCCTCGTCTTCGTAGTGAGGTGCAAGGGATTTAGCCAATTAGGTTAGCTTCGGTTGGTTATTTGCGAGCAAATTTAGTCACACAAATCACGAATATTTATCATCTTGCACACAACTTTATGTCTGTTTGGCGCATTTTTTTCAAGCTAAAAACTAATAATAAAAAAATGTAAGGTAAAAACATCCTTTTCTTTGCTTCTCAATAATCATCATTTTTTTCAGCTTTTATGAACCATTATTGTCTGATAACTTGTAAGCAAAACCCATACTAAATACTTTGACATAAATTTTTAAAAAAGAAGTTATAAGAGTTCATAAGTTGCACCAAAAAGGGCCTTTCTCCATTACAATTGTATAAGAAGAATCAAGAACAGATCATCAGATATGTTGAAGAAATCTGCCTAAACATAATCTCACAACCTCCTGTGTGATCATGCCAAAAAACAGAAAAAATGGCCTGCATGATATCAATTCCAATAATTTTTACTTGATCAAATTTGGATACCATCTGATTTGTACATTTCATATCTTATACTAACGTATTAATGAAAAATCGAATAGTAATCAAAATTAGAAGCTCAAATTTAGTCATCGTAGCATTATTGATCCGGGGCCGATGGTAGGTAGAATCTTGTTAATTTGTTAGGATGGTTCAAAGTGTTTTCAACTTTCAATATTATTAGGTACACACTTGTTTTACTCAGATGATTGTTGGAACAGAATTGAGCTAATATGTTTCGTGTAACCTTCTTCCTTCTTTCGTACCAAGAATGTAAAGTTTTTAAATCTTGTTTCAAGTGTATTTCTCATGATTATATTTGAATTCTTTACTTCTTTCTTTTCCAACTTTTTCCATGTGAAATTATGGTATTGAATCAATATCTAATGATTTGAATTGTTTATTTTGTAAAAAAATTTCTATTGAGATCATTTATGTAAAAAATATAATAAAAATTTCATAATGATCGTATAATTATACTTACATAATTTCATCCTATTTATTTTTAAATAGATAGATAGTTTATTTTAAAAATTATATTTGTCAATTTTTATATAAAAAAAAATTAAATATGATCAAATTATATGACTATGACTTTGATCACTAGAATGAGACTCATCATAGGTCTACCAGCGTAAATTTGTGAAATTCTTCGATCCAGACTGTGTGGACTAGAGAGACGCAAACTACACATCATGATCAACACCATCATGTAACTTGGGCTGTAAATAAACAAGTCGTGGGTTATTCAAATTTGACATGTAAATTTGACAAGAATTAAAGCATGTTCAAATTTAATTATTTACTATTCATAACAATTTCAAACGTGATTTAATCGAGCTAATTACAATTTAAACTTGTGTAGGTTAGCCGTGTAATGCACATAAACTTATTGAGTGTAAAAATTTAATAAATTTCAAGATGTATTCGAGTTAAATTTGTTTATGATAACGAATCAATCGGAAATTATTTTTATCATATCAAACATGAATTAAACATAAATAGTTAGTTCATTTTACAACCATCTCATAACCTATATCCTAGTTTAGAAATTAAAAAGGATTAAAAAAATAAATTTAAAAATCAAATGGGCTAGTTTGAACTTTCCACAGAACAGTCGGGCAAATTTTGCTCAAGCATCATGTTATTATGCATGTGTACAGAAATATTTATCTAACTTAAAAAAGAAATACAAAAAAAAAAAAAAAAGGAATTATTTATTTGATAAACTAATTTTTCAAGTTTAGGTCTCTTTCCTGCCGCGTCCCTTGACATTATTTGATAAACTAATTCTTCAAGTTTAGATCCTTAAAAAAAAAAAAAAAAAAAAAAAAAAAAAAAATTCATCAAATTTAGTCTAAGGCCTCGTTTGGGAACATGCTAATTTAGTAACTTTTAAAATATGAGCTAAAAAAACTAGTATGTTTGGGATGACGTTTTGGCTTTTTACGAAAAGAAGTGCAGAAAGTAGAGAGAAAAGAGAATTTTTGACTTTTTAGTATGGATTGTTGGCTTTTTAGCTAATTTAATAACTTTTTGACTTTTTGATTAAAATGGAGGGTTCCCAAATGAGGCCTAAATGCTTAATTTGATATAACTCACTCCACTGGTAAGAATCAAAATTTTTATCAACTCTTTTTAAAACCATTGAACTTATCTCAAAAACTTTTGTTAACCAATTTTGATGAAAAAAATCATCTCCAATGCCTATATCTTTTAACAATTTCATCAAATAAGTAAAAAAATGCTTGTTAAAAATTTGGTTAAAGATTTGGTTCATTCTTAATTTGATAAAAAAAAATTGATTTTCTCTTGATTTGATACAAGTTTAATAAGGATTAGACCTCATTTTATCAAAATTTTCATCAAATTTAAATTTGATGAAAATTTGGCCAAGAATTGGAGATGTTCTAAAATATGCAAATATATAACAAAATTTTAAAAATAACTAAATCCTAAATGTTCTCTAGTTTCTCTGCCTATCAAAGATAAAAAATTAAAAATTAAAAAAAAATCACGACGAATGATTAATCAATGAGTTTCGCTTCTCTCAATATACAAATTATATATTTGAAAAAAGAAAACATGATTCCAAAAGTAACTTTAATTTTGTTAGGTTCGACTAACTGAAAACTTAAAACGTATCTCTCACGCAATTTGAGTATGTTTTCATTATTTACATGCTTATTTTTAATATTGATTTACTAATTTTCATAATTATTTAAGTTGTTTAAATTCGTTTCAGCTTCCGTTTGGGAAATGGGTTGGCTTTTTAGCTTTTTGGCTTTTTGGCTATTTTAGCCTGGACTATTTTAACCTGGTTTGGGAAGGGCTTTTTGGCTTTTTGACTTTTTGACTTTTTTGGCTTTTTTTTGTGAGAGAGGATTGTAATGATTATGAGTTGGATTTGATGTTTTGTTTTTTGTGACTAAAATAGCCTATTTTATTTTTTGTGGCTATTTTAGCCAAAAAAACCTGGGCTTTTTCTTGCCAAACGGAGGCTCAACCAACTTGACTAAACATGCCCCAAGGACTCCGTTTTGGCCCCCAATGACCGAGTCTTGGCTTCACCCCTGCCAACAGTCTACAAATGACATACACCACAAACAAAAGATTTCCTTTAATCTCTAAATTTATTTGACTTGAACATGTGAGCATTTTTGTTAGGGTATGCTATTTACATAATTACATTTCACTTTAAATCTCTCACTTTTTTGTGTTTTAAATATTTTTTTTAAAAATTTTTTTAGCATCTCAAACAGTGCTGGCTCTATAAAAAAATTTCAGAGTAGACATTCAAAAATTGAAACTTGAAATTTCTTAAATCACAACAAAAGAAAATTCTAATAAATTGATACCAATGTTTCAACAAAAAATATGCAAATACAAAGAATTTTACATAAATATATTTCATTCTTAATGTAAATATGAGACTTTTTTTGTCATAGGGTCTAGTTCCACTAAAGTTAATTTGTGCTATAAGTTAGAAAGTAAAATTCTAATTAGTCAATAAATTGTGAAAAAAAAAAAAATTACTTAAACTAAAGATTTGAAACAAGAAATAAAATATATGAATATATACTTTACACTAGATTGTTGTCTACATAGTTATGTATGAAAAATAAATAAATAAATAAATTTGTATAAGGAGTCAACCGTTATCACGACTCTCCAAAGCCATCATAACTTTACAAAAGCCGACGCAGCTTTCTTGTCGAAGCAACGAGACCCTAGACCTACAAGGTGATGTCATGCATGCTCAAAAATGGGACAATCTTTCCACGCGTGCAGGGAGAAAATGTAAAAAGAGTGAATTTAAACAGTTACCGGAATCATAAAAAAAATGGGTCAACCAGAAGACCAAATCAGATTCGACCTATTCAAACCAAATGGGCCAAGACCAAGAAGTGGCCAAGGGAAATTGCTAAAGCATTACTTGCTGAGGTCCATTGTTGAGGCAGACCCTACCTCAGCGCTGCCATTTTATTACGGCGTCGCCTTTGTCACTTGCCAAGGAAAGGGAGCCGTAACAACTCCAATCTCTACAACTGCTTTTTAAGACATAACAACTTTCGAAATAGGCCTCCTCCATACAAGATAATGTACAGACACTTGGCGCCAATAGTAAACACCGATGTACTAATAGCCAAGGGCTGATAGTAGGTCCAAAGCACATATAGCTTGGTGTAGATAGCATGCTCCAACACTTACTGGTTGGGGTTGACAGCAAGCACCAAATATGCCAATATACCACGGCGACCCCATAAAGATGAGAGTAAGATAGCTCGAAAGTAAGGGACTTCCTTTTCATATACCCAGGTCAAAGACTTGCCTTGGTTGTATAAGTAGGACCAAAAAAGCCCCTTTGGGCTTGGTATGAGGCACAACCCTTACTGTGGCCTATGCCCTAAGAAGTTAGGGAGTTTGGGGTTATGTGGTTAAGGGTGAAAGAGTCGTTGAGGTACAACTAATAGCATGTCATAAGTCCTGAGAGTACATGTTTTAGGAAACCAGACTGAGAAGGCAGGTGCGGTGACAACTAGGGCATTCACTGAGGTTCGTGCCAAACATATAGTACATGTCTAGGGATACATGTCTACCAAGGCTTGGTGGTTCAAGATGGAATATCCCGAGACACATGTAGCTACACTATTTGGCTACTTGGTATATTTTGATATCAAGAAAAAGTCTATAAATATGGCCTAATTCCCAAGGTTCAAGGGAGGATTTTTTTTTTTTTTTTTTTGATTGGAGGGATACGCTACCTACTTGATTACATTGTCATTTTCCTTCTTCTGAACCACTTGCTCCATCTCACCTGGTTACTCACTCTCTGACCAACCTAGATTATTGATTCATTAACATAGCTTTATCTTTCTAAGTGATATTATGATTACTGTTTATTATGATAATATGAAAGTTAGTGTAATCAACAAAATACAACTATTTTAAGTTTGCTTAACGTGTGTCCTACGAACACACATTAACAAGACCTTATATATAATATGAGTTGGGTTTCTCTCACGTATGAGAGAATTGAGAGGCTTTTAAGGCTTACCATCGGCCTCGTTTTGATAATCCAAATTGTTCTTTTTGTAGGGATCTCAATATATATTATTCATGAAAAAAAATTAGTTTGATCCAATAATTATAATTTTTTCATTTTATCACATCTATCTCCAAAAAAATAGACGACAAATATAATTTAGAAATAGACTATTTATTGTTTTATAGACAAATGTGATAAAATAAAAAAATTACAATTATCGAATTGACCTAAATGTTTTCATTAATGACATACATTAAAAATTCTATAAAATAAATAATTTAAATTATTGAAAAGAGACCCGTGATAGACACTAGGGGCTTCGCAAATTCAATTCCAATGTGTATTCCAACAATTGGATACATTTTCCAAAACACAGTATTTATTGAAAAATAATTATTTGTATTGTAATTTACGGAATGTCTCAAGTTCCCAACGTCAGAATCTCCAACGGTCTTGCCAAGGTATAATGACAGGCATCTTTTTCCACAAAATGTTGAACAAAGCAAATGTATGTACATAATGTGCCTATAAAATAATATTTTTTGTCAATTTGAATGAAATAAATTATAAATATCACAAGAATTATATCAAATTATATATTCAATTTTATAAGGAAGTCCAACAATTATAAGCAAACAACAAGTCCATTAATCACAACTGGAATGCTATCCACCGAGTAGAACTCAAGAGCTCAACACGATTGAAATAGTACTGTTAATCTAATATTACTGAACCACACTGATTTCGGCCAATAAATTTCTGCTGCTGCTAACAATTTTCTAGGGACACAAGAAAAAAATGAAAAAGAATCCCAACATGTTCACTGATTTCATAACACTTTTCACTTTTTTTTTTTCAATTTTATAAGGAAGTCCAACAATTATAAGCAAACAACAAGTCCATTAATCACAACTGGAATGCTATCCACCGAGTAGAACTCAAGAGCTCAACACGATTGAAATAGTACTGTTAATCTAATATTACTGAACCACACTGATTTCGGCCAATAAATTTGTGCTGCTGCTAACAATTTTCTAGGGACACAAGAAAAAAATGAAAAAGAATCCCAACATGTTGTTCACTGATTTCATAACATTTTTCACTTTTTTTTTAAAAAAAAACTTTTTTACAATTTTCAAAATGGTTTTTCCAAAACCTTACATCAAACAATACCCAAGAGATACTTGTTGGCATTTGCCTAATAAAAAATAAAAATAAAAATAAAAAATTGCTTTGAAACAATTACAAAAACCTTTTTCCCAGAGGCCATCCACAGGTGTAGGAGTATGATAATAAGCTCATGTATTAAAAACACATTAACCATGTATTTGGTTGGGAGATTTGATGAGGGATTTGGAAAGAGAAAGAGAAAAGTTAGGTGAAATGTGAATAAAATATACTTACATTTCACCTACTTTCACACATTTTTTCCCTTTTCATTTCCAAATCTCTCTCCAAATCCCTCAACCAAACATAGCATAAAAGAATAACAAGTTGATCATTCAAGGATTAAGGCTACAATGAATCTGGTCTTCCAATCATAACAAAATTTAACCAACTCATTTGACTATAATCCGTAATTCCCGCTTTCCCCATTGATTTATTTTATTTTATTTTTAATAAAAAAAATTATATTTGCCAATGCTAATAACATTAAAACAATGGGTTAATTAATTATTGATATTTTGAGTAATGAATGAATTGTTTACCCACATAATCAAATCTTTGCTTTCAATAAACAAATTCTGAAACCGTGTGGATTATCATTTTTTCAAGGCCCCAAAATGAGTTTATTCAATCAGACTTAGGTGGATTTTGAGCCCCGAGTCATTAATTTATCTATATATAAATTTTATTTTTACCCACTTAGTTTAAAATAATGAAATGCTCACTAGTGGTTACGTAATATACGTGCTATTGTGTAATCAACTTGTTGAAAATTGGGTCGGATTTGACCCGACCCAACCCATAACCCATGGACCTTCCACATGGGTGGTAGATAATTCACACTATTTAATGAATAAGATAATTAAGAGAATTATCTTTTAAGTATTTGAGTTGTTGTGGGAGACTATAACTCTACTTCTATCTGGAGAGAATCTCTATATATTTGATATAGAGGCCCCGTTTGTTTTTAGTGATAGAATGGAAGAGATTGATAGTGAGGGGATTAATAGTGAGGAGATTGTTAGTGAGGGGATTAATAGTGAATAATTGTTAAATTATTGTTATATAAAATAATAAAACAAATAAAAAAATATAAAAAATTAAACATTAATATTTTTAAAAAAATTCCCAATATAAAAAAAATAAAATTTTTTTTAATCCCCTCACTATTTTTCTAATACCATCTCTACCTCCTCCTTCCCAATCTCTCTTCCAAGGCCTTTACTAATACCAAGGGATTAGGAGTCCCCTCCCCATCTCTCAAAACAAACACCCCATATAATAATCCCACCTCACTATTAATCCCAATCCCCTCCCTATAACCCCAAACAAACGGGGCCAGAGAAAAACAATAATACGTATTATTATTTGTATGTGAGTTTACTTGAAAATCTCACTACAGGAAAAAGGGGCTATAGCAATGTTTTATTTGCGACGTTTATAAAAACGTCGCTATTTTCCAATTAAAACAACGTTTTTAAAACGCTGTATTAGATTTCTTTTAAACATCATCTTCGCGTGTTAATTGGCTAACGCTGTTACCTACATCCTAAAGCCCTAAAGCTGCGATTTCTCCACCCCCCATCTCTCTCTCTCTCTATCTATCGAGCTCGAATTCATTCTGAGCAAAATTTATCTGCGATTTGCGATAGTGCTGTAGTACTCAAATTCATTCTGAGCAAAATTGATTTGCGATTTGCGACTTCTCTCTATTTCTCGCTCCGGATTTGCGATTTGCTGTTGATTGTCGAAGATTTGAAGATTTGGAGATTTGAATCTGAGCGATTAAAGTTCTCAGTCTACTCTCTCGCTTGATTTCAAACACGCTCTCTGTCTCGATTTCGAAAACTCTCTCTCTCTCTCTCTCTCGCTCGATTTCAGATCTGGCGATGATTTGAAGGCCACCACTTGGATTCCAGATTTTGAAGTTTTGTTCTCCATTTTGTGAGTTTCAATTCATTTAGCCATTTCTTTTTCTTTTTGTTTTGCTTTGTTTTTTTTTTTTTTTTTTGGTTGAAAAGTTTATACATTCATACTCATATCTTGCATCTCTATAACACATATCTCTAATGGATAAACATGAGTTGAGGTTGATTGCTTTGATTCATTTTATAACACATATCTCTGGTCAATGATTTTATGAAGATGGCTCCATACATTTAAACTTGATAATTTTGTTAAACGTGTTGTTTCTCTTGCTTTGTATGGGTCCACTGTTTAGTCTATGGCCATTCATTGGGCCTCAGATTAGTGATTAACCTTTATGCTCGAGTTCTCCTTCAAATGTTGACTCTAATTCCCATTTTCATTGTCTTGATGTAGCATATTTGTGCCTCATTAAGAGAATTGAGATATCTCTGGTATTGTTTAGACTAAGATGATGGCATGAGGAGTTTGGATCTGATCCGGACCTGAATTGTGAACCCTGTACTGGACACCCTCAACTTAAATCTTCAGGTATGAAATTTTGTGACCTGAAATTGCTTCCGAAGATTGCTATAAAATGAAAATTATAATGCCCTGATTGTGGATACACGCATACAATATGTTATAAATCTCCCCAAAAACAATGTTCATGCACTTGTTTCTCGAAGCATTTTTTGTGTTTTTGGCAGCAAAGTTCTGCCATGGTAGCGGGGGCTAATGGAGTTCGGTCTCTGAGGGAGACACCAACATGGGCTGTTGCACTTGTTTCTGCAGTTTTTGTGATCATTTCTGTTCTTAATGAACATGGGATTCATTCTCTTGAAAAGGTAAAATTGACTAAGATTTTTATGTAAAATTTGAATGATTCTCCAAGCTTTTTATGTATGGTTTGATGGAATTTTAGAAAGAATTCAATTCTGAATTATTAACTTTGGTTTCTTTAATGGTACAGTGGTTTCGGAAGCTCCAGAAGAAGGCCATGATTGAGGCTTTGGAGAAGATTAAAGCCGGTCTCTCTCTCTTTCTCTCTCTCTCCCCTTCACAATTATATTGAAATATATATCATATTATATGATGAAGTTTATAAAGTTTATAGCAGAACGCCAAAAAGGATTCCTCATATCACGGATAATTACAAGTAGTAAGTTTAGAGGAGCTATTTGTTGATTATATACAACTTGTTGACTATCTTTCTCATTTATTAAAGTAAGTGATGCAATTCAAAAATTAGAGGTGAGTCTAGAATTTTATTAAAGGGATGCAATTCAAAAATTATTAGGTGAGTTTAGAATTTTAGTCCATTCATCCAGTGACATGTGATCATATAGTTACTTCGTTCATATTTATTTTTTATTTTTTGAAAAATCATCATATGGATATGTCATCTCTTTATCTCTTTCAACTATTGCATAATCAATAATAGTATTTAAAATTAAAAAAAAACAGTAACACCTCGACTGAGTTTGGGCCAACATTAATTTTTCATCCTACATTTCTATAATTGTTTTTCTATGCACACTGCATATTCTTTTTGAATTAATAATGAAATAAAAAATGGTATTTTATTATCAAATTATTTTTAAAAATTAAAAAAATCTGCAGAGTTGATGCTTCTAGGATTCATCTCCCTACTGATCACAGTAGGAACAAGCCTTGTGTCTAAGATATGTATTCCTTCCAAAGCTGGAAAAATCATGCTCCCTTGTAAGCAGCAGAACTCCAACAATAAGCTTTCTCACGCTTCAATAAAGTTGTTTGCCGGAGATACTGCCATTCGGCGGCGAGTTCTAGCTCCGGCTAGTGGTGTTAATGCTGGTCAAGACTACTGCTCTCAATATGTATGCCAAAAGTCATCATTTTTTTTTTTTGGGTGCATATGTTTCCTATAGATGGGTCATTTAAGAAATTTTTCCTGAAAACAATTTTGGAAACAGTTCGCCAAATAAGATTGTTTTGTGATCATTACTTGTTTGTGAATGAACAGGGGAAAGTGTCGTTGATATCTCAGTCAGGGGTGCACCAATTGCACATTTTCATATTTGTGCTTGCCATTTTCCATGTTCTGTATAGTGTGATCACCATGGCTCTAGCACAGGCCAAAGTATGTCACTCCACTCCACTGCTTCTACTTTTCTGATTCAAGATTTTTGGTTAATGTGATTTATTATTTATTGATTTTTTGGGGGGGTATTATTGAAAGATGAAGAAATGGAAAGCATGGGAGCAAGAAACCAATTCATTGGAATATCAATTTAATAATGGTAATTATAATCAGCATTCAAGATTACTTTTATTTATTTATTATTGTGTAGAGAAAATAAAGTGGGTAATTGAGTTAGGTGAATGTTGATTTTGGACAGACCCTGCAAGGTTTAGGTTCGCTCATCAGACATCCTTTGTTAGGCAGCACAGTGGCTTCTCCACAATGCCCGGGTCTCAGATGGGTTGTAAGTTCCACTACTACTCAGGATCCGTTTTAATGATATGAACTATTTATTTTGTAATCACAATTCCATATAACATATCATATTTTCATAGTAACGGAGAGTAAAATAAATAAATCAAATTTACAGGTGGCTTTCTTTAGGCAATTTTTTGCGTCAGTAACAAAAGTGGACTATCTGACTATGCGACATGGATTCATTAACGTAAGTAAAATTTCCAAATTACACACTTTTTATCCAATAATAATATTTTTATATAAAATTCATAACAAGAATGATAGTAGTTATATTTGTAAAATTTTAATGATAAGCACAAAATATCGCATCATTCTATACAACTTACATGCACTAACTAATTACCATGATGTCCCATGTGGCAGTGTACCACTTTGGATATTTGCAGTCATCTTTCAGCTAAATGTCTATAGTAGGCCTCTTCTCTCTCTCTCATATTTTCATTATTATTATTCCCTCTGTCTCAAAATAATAGTCCCTTTTGGAGAATTGAATTTTTTTTATAGTACATTTATTGTACTTTAAAAAAATTGAATTTTCAAAATTATCCTTTGATAGTACATTTTTTAGGGAATATCAATGTCATAACCAGATCATGAGTGGTTTCTGCTGTTTTTGATCAATTGATATATATATATATATATATTGCTGCTATATATGTTTATTTGGATGCTTTAGAAGTGGCTGTTAGAAGTATATTGAAGTAATAATTTAGCTTGAAGCTTAGGAAGCTACTGCAATACTTAGAAAGTCAAATTGGATAATTGATTAAAATGTCTGAAAATTGAATTTGAGGTTCCTTTAGGAAACTAAGCATACTGAACTCTACTTAACTTGGTTCCTTTAGGAAAATTGAAATTGATCTTGAGGATCAAATATCTTCTTCTCTGACACTTTAAGATCTTCTGGAAACATTGCCCAAGAAACCCCAAATTTAAGTGATCAACCAATGGACTTAAGTCCCTCAGATCCTTTTCTCAGTCTCGATGCCTTTTGCGTGTTAAATCTTCGATGCCAAATCCACATTTGTTCATTCCGACTGAAGCAGAAGGAGAAGATAATCTAGAGTCCAAGTCATCCAACCTAAAAACAAAACCAATATATTAGATGCCATTTCCTGAAGCACTCAAAAAGGAACACATGCAGTTAGGAATCAACAACCCTTCATGTTTTCATCAATAGCTAGAGAGGAAATGAAAATTTTCACATAAAAATATGTAAATTGTCGAGCCTCTATCAAATATGCATTTACCAGCAATTTATGGTTGTGAATGGTGAGACACCATTACAATTAATGGTAAGTGAAACAAATAAACAAAATAGCAAGTCCATCCTACAACAAGGTTAGCAAGCACTTATTAAATAAGTATAAATGCCCTCCTCCATATATTTGTCTCGGTTCATCTGGAAAAACAGATTACCAGTATATGCTTGATCCGTCTCAGCTAACTCTATCCAAGACCTCAGAGTTGGAATCCTCAATAGGTTCATTTAGATCAGGTAGCATAAATTTATTCTCCTGATTTATGGTCTCCTGTTGCAGCTTGGAAGAATCGTTCGGACAGGGTAGTTGTGTAGAATCATGATTATCAGTTTTGACATTTGGTTGCAAAACTGAAGGAATAGGGTTGCGAGATGCTACATTTTGCTGCGTTTGATCAGGAATTGCTTTGACAGATGCAACCGCTGTAACTCTTTCTGCTGCCGACTGTGATTCCAAATCAAGCTGCAATATAAGTAATACATGCAACAGCTTAGATATCAGTTTTTAAAACATTAAATATCAGCAGATGGACTTACTTTTTAGCGTAATGTGAAACAATTATAAATTGCCACTGTGCCTAAACACCCTAAGTGCAAATGACCACCCAGGCAGTTTTACTTTTTTTTTTCTTTTTTCTTTTTTTAACACAAAAAAAAAAAGAAAAGAAGTCATCGAGGAATAATATATGCATTACAGTAAACCAAAGAGAATAATCATTTGTCGCACATGAGTGGTACAAAAGCATCTTAAAGTTCAACATAAGTACAAGTAAATTCTTCAAGGTAGTATATATCAAATACAGTGTTCCATAGGTACAGGCATAAAATAAGGACATAAGTTGATAATATATATATTCTTACTTGATGCAAGATCAAGAAGAAGAAAACAAAAGAAGTGAAATGTGTACCCAATTGACAGGACTCACCCAAAATGAGTGATCAAGTAAGAATATATATATATATTATCAACTAAGAATATATATAGCATTTCTTCTTGATCTTGCATCAAGTAAGAATATATATATTATCAACTTATGTTTGATTTGTAAACTATCATCAGTGTTCCATAGGTGGCAAGTCCATGGACATTAAATGGATTTTGTTTTTTCTCAGTGATTTAAAATTGTTGCCTAGATTCTGTAATCTACGCACACAAACTTATTATTTTCTGTTTCAATAATATGCTGCCCTGTACTTGTTTTTATCATTTTATTCTCTTTCCTTTTCAATCACCTTACGGGATTGTTGGAATTGCAGATTGTGAGTCTAGTAAAGACATTGTCTTGGAACTCCACTTGTTCTCTACATTAATGGGAATGGTAGCTTTCTTGAGCGAATGGAAGGAACTGGGGTTGATGTGATTGGGCCTGGATTGGACAGTGGATATGGCAGATGGAAGGAAACATTTGGAAATGGAATTAGCATACAAGGAAATGTGGAACATGCTTGTTTATTTTCTACTCTTCCTGCTTTGACTGATGGAATTAAAAGGTTTGTGATGAGAACTAAAACTTGGGACTGAACTTTTCCTGTCAATTACTGCCTATACCCAATGACTTAGGAATAACTACTAGATGTTTGGATATTGACTTGCCTACTTGTTTTTTTCTTCTTTTTGTACATATGACCAAATTTGATGTTTGTATTGATTTCACATGATTCTGGGAACTTCTTTAATTAAATTATTAATCAAATTTGATTTCACAGTATTTGGTGTGTTTTTAGTTTTTTGATGTTCGAAATTTGATTGCCTACTGGATTGGACAGTGGATTTGACTTGTTTTTTTCATGTTTGCCTATTAGATGTTTGTATTGATAATTTAATTGAGTAAGTGCCAACAGGCACATGATCACTAGCTTAATACATTACTGAAGCACAAATTTCACTGGTTGGATTGTAGCCCAACTTTCTGAACTGGTTGGTTGGTCACTGCAGATGACCAGAAAAAAGGCAAAGAAATGGAAAATTTGGGTCCTAGTTGCTTATAAATCTAACAGTTTGGTTGCATGGAGCAAACATAAAACATATAGTTTACAACAATAGCAGCATAGAGAAAACAAAAAATGATATTTTATTCCATGTTCTTGCATCAGCAGCCAATATATATTCAAAAAGAAAAAAAGTGGCATTTTTAAAAAATGCCACTTATCAGAATGACGTCATTAAGTGGCATTTTTTAAAAAATGCCACTTAATGACGTCATTCTGATTTCACACATTAGCTTCTTGTAGCAGAAGCAGCATAAACAAATAAAATTAAAAAAGAAAAAAAAGTGGCGTTTTTTGAGAAACGCCACTAAATGACGTCATTGTGACGTCACACGTTAATTTGGGACGGAATGGGAGATGGACGTCAAAGATTTTACGGCCTTTTTTAAAACGCCGTCTAATATTTTTAGCGACGTTTTCAAAACGTCGGAAAGCTATTGCGGCGGCCGTATCAGCGACGAAAACATTAAACGCCACCATAAGATATTACGGCGTTTTTCAGGCTTTTTGCGGCGTTTTTAAAACGCCGCTAAAAATCAAATTTCCTGTAGTGTCCCCGACGAAGCGATAGGTAATGGAGGACAATCCATTCCATGGGTGTTTGAAGTTGATCTGATCAGATGTTTCTTTTTTTGACATGGCATTCTAATTCTAGTTGGCTTCCTTAGTATTGGTTTTTCACGTGATCTGATGATTCATAGGTTGTTCGCTTCCGTTCTTTGGAGAAACCTAAGGAGGATGAGTTCTGCATTGAGTTGTAAGTTCTTCATATTCCTAAAATCTTATTCATGATAAATGCATTTATTTAAAATTTTGGTTTCTTATTTGTTATACATTTGTGATATTTTTTTTTATGTGAATTTTTATCAGAGAAATGAATTTTGTTACCCTTGTAAATTTTTAGGTCAAAGCTTCACAATTATGATGATGTTGTTGAAAGAGTTGTTGGGAAAAACTACTCACATTACATAATTTCATATTGCATATCGCAAAATTATGAGATGAACAAAACAAACCTTCAATCCCAGGAAAAATAACATGCTGAATAAAATACAGATAAAATATAAAATGGTTAAATGAAGCAAACCGAAACTTGTGTGATACCACAGTCTCCTTAAAATAGATTCGCCGCCTCACTGTTGGGTGCTGGAGGTACGCCGACGTCTACTTCCCAAGATACGTCGGTTTTTACCAGCTACAACAGAAGCACCTTCTGATTAGCTTAGCAAACGGACAACGGCAGCACTCTCTCACAGGAAGAAAATTATAGGAGAAGTAAACTGACAGTGTATGGATGTCAAGGAAAAATTCTATATATCTTTTCAAGGAATAGGGCCTCCTTTTATACACCATGGGGGAGAGGGGAGGAGCCTCTAGCCATCAAGGCTGGCAACTAATGCTAGCAAAACTGCCCAATCAATTTTGTAAAACTGATGAGCCTTAAATGTGTGAGTTATATACACATTTATGAGGCAATTTCTTATTCAACCATTTTTCTCCAACACTATGTATTAAAACATATCCTTACTTTCTCAAAAAAATGGGAAAAGAAGAATATGATAATCTTGGTTTTTGCATTAATTATGTTCTAAGACTGATAGCAGAGCGGTGACTAGAAGCAAAAGCGAAAAAACAAATAAAAAATCAAATTTCCAACTCACAATATGGTCAAAAATGTTGTGATAAAATTTTGAAAGAAAATTGAAAAATTTTATATTTTCTATTTATGAAATATGAAATTTTTATTTTTATTATAAAAAATAAATAATAAAAAATTTTGGAACAAAAATAGAAAAAATTACTATATGATTTTATATTGTGTATTAAAAAAATAACTTTTTATTTATAGTTATATTTTCTATTTATGAAATATGAAAGTTTTATTTATATTATAAAAAATAAATAATAAAAAAATTTGGAACAAAAATAGTAAAAAATTACTAAAAAATAGTTCAAATAATGTCCAAAATAGTAAAAACCCAACCGCTAAACTAATTCGCATCCACTCGTCATTCTGCATGACCCGCTCAATCCCCTTATGCTAACTAAACAGACGGATGCGGATTAATTTTCTCCAATCCTCATAAGTTCGGATGGATGGTGGATGAGAGTTCACTCGACCCAACCCGATCTGCAAGCACCCTTATGTGTAACACTACTTATCAAAATGCATAATTTTATTTCTGATTTTACAAATTATTATAACTCTATCACAAAAATGCGTAATAAAGATGCATATGGTAAGCTTTCCGTACAATTATTATATTGTTGGCTTATATTTCTTACAAAGGAAAATATCATAAATGCGAGTATGCTAGCAAGGATTGAAAAATCCTTACAGATTAAATTCAAGCCAATTATCCAGCGATTGTGTTGACGGTTCTTTTGCCTCAATGAAAAGAACTTCCAAATTGCCAAGTGTAAAGAAAAGAAAAATTAAAAGAAGAAAGAAAGAGATGAATAAAGATGATTGAGTGAACAATTGGAGCAATTGAGCGAACAATCAAAATAACCATTAATTTACCTCTACTCCTATGCTTCGAAAAGGAACTGCATAAAATAAAGTGCAGAAAATTAACCTCTACTCCTATGATTCGAAAATGAAGTGCATAAAATAAATTGCAAAAAAATTAAGTGCAAGAAATATAAATGACAAGAAAAATAGAAATTAATTTTTTTTTTATTTTTTTTTTATTTGAGTTCTGAATCCTTTACAATGTAGTCATGAATGACTAGTTATACGCAAATATTTGTAAGAAAAAACTACCTACTACCCTATTCTCCAATCTTCATCCTTGTTTTGCCATATGTCTCTCTAACTTCTTCTCTTTACTCCATGTTCTTCCACATTATGATCCATTCGCATGTACTTAATTATTCATAACTTCTCATAACCTCCAAATGAGTAGGAGAGTGTCATGTGTCCTGTAATTTATCAATAATAATAATAATTATTATTATTATAGATTTATGGTGCCAACATTACCTCCCACGACTCTTTAAGAATGAGGTGCCCCGAATTCTTGAAGAGTTGTATATTTATGCCAATATAGGCCTTATTTGACAATTAATTAATTGCTACTTGAAGGGAGGCACATGTTCAAAGGTCCTCTTGTCCCATGATATGCATTGAAAGTGAACATAGAACCAAACATATGTTTTATAAGCCTTGACAGAAAATGAAAACCATCTTTAAATGTGTTTACTACATACATCAAAGACTAGCAAAGCACCGAAGGTGTGCCAGAATTGCAAATTTTATTCTTCACGCAGCTTCATGAAGGAGCAGTATTCATCTATCAAGACAATGAATAAAAAAAAAAAAAAAAGAACATGTAAAGAACTAGCTTCATGAAGGGGCAATATTCATCTATCAAGACAATGAATCAAACAAACAAGAAGAAAAAAATAAAATAAATAAAGAACGTGTAAAGAACTAGCTTCGAGGCATATTCTACTTTAGCAAACACACATATTTTCATATATGATTTTGCAAACAAAAGGACCATCCAATATGGTCGATTTTCAATCTTTGAAGCTTGAATTTTTACTCGAAGCCTTATTTAAAGTTCCATTAAAGTAGTACAAAGCTTTTGAAAATCATTTAGGCTGGGCAAACCAATAATTGTTTTTTTTTTTTATTTTTTTTATTTTTTTACAAATGTGGTTTTATCAAACTGTAGTTGGCTTTGTATCTTTGAAGGATGCCGATTATAAATTTTAACTTGCAACCGCCATGATTGACTACTAAAAATGGCCATGAAAAGTTTAAATTGATCGGCCATTATTTTACTCTCTTAACGTAAAATTCAAAATGAACATACTTCTAGAACTTTGATTTTTTGCAAACCATTTTAGCAAAATCAAGTTTTACTATGATCTAAAAATTCAAAATAAATTTTGAACAACAAAAGCCATCACATGAAGGAGCTTTGAAAATTCATGTACCTTGACATCTTGAACAATCTCAAAAAATTCGAACTCATGAACATTGGTTTGTTCGTCATTCTTAGTCACGTTTGGCTTGAGAACATGTTTTTCAACCACTTCAATTTCATTATTTCTTGGTCTAATGGGCTGTTTTTCTATTTTAGCTATTAATGGATTATGAAAATCCTTCATAGGCATGTGAGTTTCCTCATTTATTGGCCTAATAGGCAATATTTCTATTTTAGCTATTAATGGCTTATGAAAAACCTCCATAGGCATGTTGTTTCCATAGTTTGACTCTTTAAGAATGGGTTTTTCAACCCCCAAGTCTTATATGAAACATCATTTTAACCATCCTTGGCTCAACAACATGCTCTTTAACCATGATACTTTCATAAGCTGGCTCTTTAAATTTGGGTTTTCCAACCATTAATGACTTGGAAAACTTCTGAAAAAATTCACCAATTCCAACCATTAAAGTCTCGGTTAAAGACTTGGTAGTAAGAGTTGACAACTCATCATTCTATTGGCGAACTTCCATATTGAGTTCATGAATTTCTCCAATTAAATCGTGTCTTTTGTTTCCACTAAATAATATTGTAATGGATGAACATTTGTTTCATAAAGAAAATGGATTTCTTCTTGAAAATCCAAAATTCTTTGTTTATGCCAAAAGATTTCATTTAGACTATTTGGAATGGACTAATCTGATTCATTTTTTATTTCTTACACTTGATGTCCCATTAGACGTACCAAATATTGTTGACTTATTTTTCCTACGAAGGAAAAT